CTCCAGGGAATAGTCCCTTCTGACAACACGACCAAAGTAAGTGAGACAAAGTCTGGCCATTCTTGTTCCCAAGGAGCACTCCAGTTGCACTTCTTCCAGGACAGATATGTTTGTTCTTCTGGCAGTCCATGGTACTTGTAGTATTCTTCGCCAACACCACAACTCAAAAGCATCAACCCTTCTTTGGTCTTCCTTAGTCACTGTCCAGTTTTCACATGTGTATGAGGTGACTGAAAAGACCATGGCTTGGGTTAGGCGCACCTTCATCCTCAAAAAGACATCTCTGCTCTTCAATACATTATTTGCAGCAGATTTGTCCAATGCAATATGTCATCTGATTTCCTGACTGCTGTGTCCACTGGTGTTGATTGTGAAATCATGCAATATAAAATCTTTGACAATTTCAATCTTTTCTCCATATATCATGATGCTACTTATTGGTCCAGTTGTGAGGATTTTCATTTGCTTAATTTTGAGGCATAATCCATACTACAGACTGTATGTAGTCTTTAATCTTCATCAGTAAGTGCTTTAAGTCACCTTCATTTTCAGCAAGCAAGGTTGTGTCATCTGCATATCACAGGTTGTTAATGAGTCTTCTCTCAATCTTGATGCCATGTTCTTCTTCATTTAGTCTAGCTTCTTGGATTATTTGTTCAGCATACATATTGAGTAAGTATGGTGGAAAGATACAACTGTGGTAGTTAAATTTCTATGTCAACTTGGCTGGGTCTGGTTGAGGGGCTGGGCAGCTGGTGGTAGTTACTCCCCATGATGGCACTAACAATCAACTCCATGGTGGGATCTACCACAAGCAGCTGAGAAGAGCTGCTTTGTGTATCTGGTCTTCTTCCCTATATAAGAAGCAGCTTTGGGAATGGTCTCTAGCTTATGGCATGCTTGAAAACTGCATGCAGTCATGTCGTTGTTCAGCAGCCTGCCATGCTCTGCCAACCTTGGGACTTAAAATGGATTTGAATTAATGGCCTGCTATGTGGTTTGTTAACACTGGGACCGTACCATTTTCTTTATTGACCTTGAGCTTGTTAGCCTCAGCAGCCAGTAGCTGCCTGAGTGAAGAGATGGCCTCTAGCTTCAGTGGGCCGGGAGCAAGAGGCAGAGCTGAAGCCCAAGATCAAGGGGCTTTCACACAGTCCCTAGAGTCTGGCACTTTGAACTTGGAGTTAAAGCCTCCAAGCTGTAGGAGAATAAACTCCTGTTTGTTAAGGCCACCCCATTTATGGTATATTCTTGTCAGAGCAGCACTAGGTAACCAGAACACAACCCTGATACACTCTCTTCCTGATTTTAAACCATGCAGTATTCTCTTGTTCTGTTTGAATGACAGCCTCCTGGTCTACATACAGGTTCCTAATGAACACAATTAAGTGTTCTGGAATTCCCATTCTTCTCAATGCTATCTATAATCTGTTATGATCTACACAATTGAATGTTTCTGCATAGGCAATAAAACACAAGTAAATATCTCTCTCGTGCTCTTTGCTTTCAGCCAAGATGTATCTGATATAAGCAATGATATCCCTAATTCCATGTTCTCTTAGGAAACCAGCTTGAATCTCTGGAAGTTCCGTCAGTATACTGTTACAATAGTTTTTTAATTACTTTCAGCAAGATTTTACTTGTGTGTGATATTAATGATATTGTTCGATTAATTCCACATTCTGTGGGAACACCTTTCTTTGAAATGGGTAAAAATACAGATCTCTTCCAGTCAGTTGGCCAGATAGCTGTCTTCCAAATTTCTTGGCATACACAAATAAGTGCCTCTGATGTAGCATCCATTTCGCTGAAACATTTCAATGGGTATTCCATCAGCTCCTGGATGCTTGTTTTTCACCAATTCCCTCAGTGCAGCTTCGACTTCTTCATTGATCATATGCCACCTCCTGAAATGGATGAACATCAATCAATGATTTTTGGTACAGTAACTCTGTATTCTTTCCATCTTCTTTTGATGTTTCCTGCATCATTCAATATTCTGCCCAAAGAACCTTTCAGTATTGCAATTCAAGGCTTGAATTTTTTCTTCAGTTCTTTCAGCTTGACAAATGCCTGTTTGTTCATCCCTTTTGGTTTTCTAACTCCAGGTCTTTGCATATTTCATTATAGTAATTGATTTTTTCCTCTCAAGCTGCTCTTTGAAATCTTCTATTCAGCTCTTTTATCTTGTCATTTCTTCTATTTGTTTTAGCTACTCTCCATTCAAGAGCAAGTTTCTCTTCTGACATCCATTTTGGTCTCTTCTTCCTTTCCTGTCTTTTTAATGACCTTTTGCTTTCTTCATGGATGATGTTCTTGATGTTGTCCCAAAATTCCTCCGGTTTTCAGTCACTGGTGTTCAATGAGTCTAATATATTCTTCAGATGGCCTCCAAATTCAGGTGGGATATAATCAAGGTCATATTTTGGCTCCCATGGACTTGTTTTAATTGTCTTCAGCTTCAACTTGAACTTGCATATGAGCAGTTGAAGGTCTGTTCCACAGTTAGCTCCTGGACTTGGTTTTGGCTGAAGATATTGAGCTTCTCCATAGTCTCTTTCCATAGATGTAATTGATGTGATTCCTGTGTATTCCAACTGGTGAAGTCCACATGTATAGCCGCCATTTATGTTGTTGAAAAAGTATTTACAATGAATAAGCTGCTGGTCTTGCAAACTTCTATCACACAATCTCCAGTATCATTTCTATCACCAGGGCCATATTTTCCAACTACTGGTGACTCTTCTTTGTTTCCAACTTTTGCATCCCAATCACCTGTAATAATCAACACATCTTGATTGCATGTTTGGTCAATTTCAGACTGCAGAAGTTGGTAAAAATCTTCATTTTCCTCACCTTTGGCTTTGGTGGTTGGTGCATAAAGTTCAATAATAGTAATATTAACTGGTCTTCCTTGTAGGCATATGGATATTATCTATCACTGACAGCACTGGACTTCAGGACAGATCTTGAAACATTCTTTATGACGATGAATGCCATGCCATTCCTCTTCAATTTGTCACTTCTGCTATAGTAGACCATACTGCTGTTTGATTCAAAATGGCCAAAACCAGTCCATTTTAGTTCACTAATGCCTAGGATATCGATCTCAATGCATTCCATTTCATTTTTCACAACTTCCAATTTTTCTAGGTTCATACTTCATACATTCCATGTTCTATTCATGGATGTTTGCAGCTGTTTCTTCTCATTTTGAGTTGTGCCACATCAGCAAAGCAGGTTCCAAAAGCTTTACTCCATCCACGTCATTAAGGTAGACTCTACTTTGAGGAGCCAGCTCTTCCCCAGTCATATTTTGAGTGTCTTCCAACCTGAGGGGTTCATCTTCTGGCATTATATTGGACTATGCTTCAGGGCCATTCATAAAGTTTTCCAGTAATATATCAGACAGTGTTTTGCTGCTATTCATAAGGTTTTCACTGGCCAATTCTGAGAAGTGGATGGCCCCTTCTTTCTTCCAAGTCTGTCTTAGTCTGGAAGCTCCACTGAAACCTGTTCACTATGGGTGACCCTGCTGGTATTTGAAATACCAGTGGCATAGCCATCAGCCTCACAGCAACACACAAGCCACCATAGTATGACAAATGGATAAACAAGTGGTAGATAGGGAGATTTAGTAAAGGAAAATCAAACAACTAAAACAGAAATAACGAGAATGCTGATACAATGGGAAGAATGTAACCAATGTCACCTACCATTATGTCTAGAAACTAGAAGTTGGTTTTGCTATGCATATTTCCTCAGAAATAAGATTTTAAAAATAAATATAACCTGATTCCACTTACATGAAGATAAAAAAAAAAATCCCACAGGCAAAGCTAAACAACATATATTTAGAAAGCATACACAGGAAAAGCAAGAGGACAACAAATGTAAGTTTCCCTGGGAAGGGGAGGGTAGATGCAACTGGAACTAGGGGCCTCAAAACTCTGATAATGCTCTATTTCTTAGAAGAGGTAGTGATGACAAAGACTTCCTAAAATGGTAAGGCATGTTTTCGATAGAGCAAGTCTAACCATAGAGGCTCCTTATACTCGCCATTAGCTAAGCTTTAGCTCCTTCAGGACAGAGGCCACCCTATTGAGTAACAGTCACTGCAAGATACTACAGCAATTGCTTTTTGTTCCTTCTGAGAAAGCTACCATTGAACGTGTTGTTTTAATATATACTTACATAGATATTCAGGAGCTCTGGTAGCATAGTGCCTAAGGCACTTGACTGCTAACCAGAAGGCTGGCAGTTCAAACCCACCAGCCACTCCTTGGAAGGAAGATGGG